TAACAGTAACTAATCAAGCAGCCCAATCAATAAATGGGCAAGAGAATCAGACACTTCTCAAAAGTGACCATTTTTAGATAAGAGGAAGGGAATAAGGGTGGGGAAGGTGGGTAGAAGGGAAGTTCATGGGAGGGCAGATGTGGCCAATATATGTTATAGATATGTATGTGAACACCACATGTAAACTCAGTATTTTATACAATTAATAGGCACTAATAAAAATACAATTTAAAAAAGACCATCCTTTCCCTATAGCACATTGCTACAAATCTTGTCAAAATCAAAAGGCTATATATTTGTCAGTCACTTTCTCAACTATTTTTTCTGTCTCTTCCATTCTATGCAAGCCAGATGCCCTGAGAGCAGGTAGCACTCACACCCAGGGCACGGCACCCTTAATTCTAGACAGAACTACGCCAAACCAATTAGTGGACTAATTTAGTAAACACTGCCCTAGATCCCAGCATCATGCACTCTGAGAAACACCACCACCTGAGGTTTTGGGAGGACATCTAGATATAAGCCATAACAAGTACTATATACCTATAAAAATAGAAAAATACAGTACTGAAATGAAGACATATCCAATGGAATAGAGCCCAGGAAATAAACCCTTTCACACGTGGTCAAATAATTTTAACAAGAGTGTTTCCAAGGCTGGGAAGTTTAGGATCAAGATACCAATGGGTTCTATTTCTTGTAAGAGTCCTGGTCTCTTTCCAAGATTGTGCGTTGTTGCTAGATCCACTCAGTGGAGAGAGTGATCCAACAAATGGTGCTGCAGAAAGTGGCTAGCCACATTCAAAAGAATGAAGTTGAATCCTTCCTATACACAAAAATGAACTCAAAATGAATTAAAGACCTATACATAATAGCTACACTATAAACCTCTTATAAAAAAGGGAATAAGCACCTGCTTTGCAAGCAGGCAGTTGTGAGTTCAATTCCTGGTACCGATAAAAAGGAAAAAGACAAAAACAAGACAAAAAACAAAAAAAGGGAAAAACTTCAGGTCATTGAATTTCACAATGATTTCTTTGATACAGTAGGAAAAGTATAGGCAACAAAAGCAAAAATCGCAAATTAGATTTTATCAAAAGTAAAGCTCTTTGTAGCAAACAACACTATCAACAGAGTAAAAAGCGATTCACAGAAAGGGAGAAAATAATTGCAAATTACATTTCTGGTAGGCGATTAATATCTAACATATATAGACAACTTCTAAACCTCAACAAAATCAATTACCAACTCAAAACTTGACAAAGGACTGAGGATTTAGCTCAGTGGCATAAGTACCTGTCTAGCAAGTATAAGCTTATGAGTTCAATCTCCGGTACAAAAAAAAAAAAAACTTGACAAAGGATTTGAATAGATTATTTCTCCTTGTTTGATTCCATTATGCCTGATGGTATGAGCAATTCTTTTGAAGATAACAAGAAGCATTATGGTAGCCATTGTTGACCTCCTTGTATTTTGTTTTTAAGTCATATACCATGTCCATCCTTTTGTTTTGACTGACTCCATTCTGTTTTGTTTCATTTGGTTTTACTCTCTTCAAAATAAAAAAATAAAATACATGAATGGCCAATAAGCACATGAAAAGATGTTCAACAACACTATTAAGAAAATGCAGGCGAAAACCACGAGATACCACTTTATGCCTATAAGGACGCCCATTACCTAGCAAATATTGGTGGGTACAGATACTTGAGAAGGGAAAATGTTGTAACTGCTGTGGAAAACAATGTAATGCATCCCAGGAACTTACACACAGAATTGCCATTTGATCTAGCAATGCCACTTGGGAGTATCCAAACAAAATAAATGAAGGCAATGGCTCAGGTAATTTATACAACAGTGTTCACAGCAACATTATTCATAGTGCTCAAAGCAGAAAAACAATCCAAATGTTTATCAGAACACGAATGCACCTGTGAAATGTTTACTGGTGCACTTTAGGTATGCACAATGACCACCTTTGTCATAGGGGTTTGTACCAGGTATCGTGACACACCTTGATTCTTTTTCCCCATTTCCCTCCCTTGCCTCCAACCCTCTTTCCCCTCCTTACTTACAAAAGCTTTCTTGTAGTTAGGGGTTGTGAGAAGAACAATTAGAATCATGACACAGAGTTTATAATATTGTTTTATGATGGTCACCCAGAGTTAACACAAGAAAATGCAGGAAATCTATCTGCAACACTAAAGACATACAATATTTAGCCAAGGGCCTGAATCCCACAACAATGTCCCACAACAATGTCCCACATGAGTCCAGATAAAGACTCAGAGCTCATGACAATGCCTCCCATGAGTCCAACTGGAAGTCTAGAGCCCACAAAAAGGACTCACGCCAGTCTCTTTTACGGATCTGTGCTGGTAAGGCCCAAAGGCCCAAAGTCCATGCCAGCGGGGTAAAGGAGCTGTGCTGGTAGGTGGAAGGTTCTACGCTGGAGCCGAGAAGTCACACTCACAACAAAGAGCAGGGCTGTCCTGAAAAGCACCACAGCCAACCTCAGTGACACGGGCTCCTCTGAGACAAGCAGTCGAGTACCTGCCAGGAAGCCAGCACAACGAGTTCATCCTGGAGACCAAGTGGAACACGTCTTCCCCTCCAGAGCCAGGAAGCAATGCTCGATGTGAGGACCAGAACTTCTCTAGAAGAACCAACAACTCAAACAGCAACTCGTAGAAGAACCCACAATGCCTCAATGCCTCAATGCACAACTTCTCCTTCTCCACATCTCTATTTATGCTGGCAACTTTCCTCAGGTGTAGCATCAACACTCAGTGCCATGGTGATGTAATCCAGCTGGAGATAAGTTAACCACCAGTCCTTAATCCATAACAAGCTTTGTTTCCTTTTTGTCTCTTTTCTTATCATTCTTTTCTTTTCCCTTCTTTCATTTCCCCTCCCCCATTCCTAGTTCCCCTTCACATTTGAACATTTTCTTCCTATTCCTGTCAACATACTTATACCACTGAACTGTACACTTAAAAATAAAGTAGTAAGTTTTATGTTATATAGGTTCTACCACAATAAAAGAAAAGCAAAACCCTCCACTACTCCACAAATTTTCAACTTTAACTATTTTCATATCAATAATATAAATAAGCCTGTTTCACCCTTTGACACACCATAGACGTATGTTTATATTATATCATAAATGGTATGCTATAATATGTCTGCCCCCATACTAACAGACATTTGCTATTATAAACAAGGTTGCATGGGCCAAGGATATAGCTTAGTAGCATAAGCGCCTGCCTGGCAGGTGCAAAGTCCTGAGATAGATTCTCAGTACCAAATAAATAAGCAAACAAACAAGGTGGCAATAAGAATCTTTAAAATATCTGTTATCTGTTAGTTCTGTATACTGTACCTTGAGACCATAAATGCTAAGTGAAATAAATCACACACACAAGCTTAACTATTACATGGTTTCTCTTATATGGGAAATTCAAATATATAAATAAAGATCTAAATAAAAGATAGGTAATAGGAAATAGATCTTTTGAGAAACCAAGAAATGAAGGGAGGGGAACAAAGGGAAGGGAAAGGGGATGGAAGAAAGACTTGAGATGTTATGGCGATGTTTCAACCCCCCAGGAGTATGTGCTGCAGACAAGTTCCAATCCAAACTGTGAAAAGAAGCATCTCCACCCACACGATTCAGAGGACCTATGTTTGTTCCGTGATCCTAGCCTATGACAAATAAAACATTACTAAAGAGTCAGGCTGCGAAGGCCTCTTGATAGGAAGCACAGCCCCTCCCAGGATGACAGACATCCCGGAATTCACCCCACCATCCATTTCAACATCCACAGGCTGTAGCAAGTACCAGGCAGAAGCCTAGAGGTTAACAGCCGAAGCTCAAAGCATTGTCCTAGCACTTGTCCACACCCGGGTATTTTGAAATGGGTGACAGGATGGAGCCTGGACGCCTGCCACCTGGGAGAGGCTGCTGTTCCGCACAAGATCCCTCTTAGGAGTGATCCCTTCAGGAGCTTAAGTGGTGCTCGCCAGCCTCTGGCTCCTGCCCATCATGACCCAGGGGCTGCGGCTCCATTATGCTTTTAACTGAGCACCCAGCCTCCCCGACTTGATCGCCTCCAGCCTGCCCGCTCACTCCATTTGACAGAAGAAAGTTCTACCCCAGTCAATGCCCTGTGTTCCAAGCGTCTTCCTTTGCTTTTACGGAAAAGAAAAGGCAATTGATGAAAGGCAGCCGCATCTAGGACCCAACCGCTTCTTTGTGGTTAGTGCATATCTGTTACCTTGTTTTACAGCCCAAACACAAACATTATTTCCTCCAAGCCCTGGACAGTGGAATCAGCTAAAAGGCATTTTACAGAGCTCGATCCACGCGTCTTAACCCTGACTGTCCTGCCTTCTGCGAAGCTTTTACCAGGCTCCTCCCATACACCTATCAGCGGATCAAGAGATGAACACCAGCCCAACGGTGCAGGAAGCCAATATCTTAGTTACAGACACTACAAGGACATTAGATACTTCAAAGAAAGTCCTGCTTGCTAGGAAGAAAGTGAGCCCCTCCCCTGAGGAGGGGGACAGAGACCTTTGTCTCCGCTTACAACGTGCCCGTCTGTCACATTTGTCGTCAGATGAGCACATGGCAGATTTGTTAAATGAATCAATGAACGAATGAATGAGCAAAGAATATGACACTCCAAAGTCAACCAAAAGTGGATCCTGCTCCCGGACCTGCCACAGGAGCCTCTCTCTGCTGAGTCGATCCTCGCGCTCGCGGGAATTGCTTGGCTGAGTATGCAGAGTCCTCCCCAGGAGCTGAGAGTTCTTTGCACAGCGGAAAGTCACCGAGAGGCCACCTAGATGACCCAGGAAGCAATCTGTGCTAAAGTGCTCACCTTAAGGAGTGCCCAGGAACGGGCCATCTCCAAGGAGCGGTCCAGAGGGTGCAGCTGGAGCGACTGGCGGGGCCGGAGGCGGTCGGGGTGCAGAGGACTTGGGTGGGGCGGGGCGGGGCGTGGAAGGCGAGCGCACCTGCTGGGCCACCGCTGCGCACTTGGCTCCGGCGCTGGCGGCGGACACCCAGAGGGCGCACAGGTCAGAGCCCACCGGGTCCAGGGCCGACGCGGAAGGGGTGGGGCGGGGCCGGGGCTCGAGCTGGGCCGGAGGGCTGAGGGTGGGGGGCCTGCAGGAGGGCTCCTGAGACGAGAGGCGCGCTCAGATTTGGAAGCAGGTTCAGACTGGAAAGCAGCGCCGAGATGGGGAGGGAGGCGGAGGGCAGTGGGCGGCGGCGCTGCCGGCGGTGTCTGGAGGGAGGTGCGAAGTGCTGGCCCCCCGCAGCGACCCCGCCTAGCTGCGGGCGCCTGGACCCCGCCGTGGTCCCTAGTTAGCGCTGATCCGCAAACAGCCGCTGGGAGCCGTCCTCAGCCGGGGCATGAACCAAGGGTGGGAGCGGTGGGTGCAGTGGTCCCTCGGGCCAGCGTCCGCTTCGGCGAGGAGCACCAGGAGCAGCAGCCCGGGCCCAGCAGCCGGGCTTGGGGACCTTTATCCAGGTCCGGGGGACGACCCTGGAGATGTGACCAGCCCTCAACGGAAGAAGGCTTCCACTTCAGCCCGGGAAACCCGAGCTCCGTGACATGAAAATCGCTCTTTAGTCCGGGGGGCAGGCCCTCTCCCCCCGGCCCTTCCTCCTCCGGTCCCCTCTGCCGCCGCCTCCCCGCCCCGCCACCGCCGAGGGCTCCGGAAAAGCTATAGCAATCACCTCGCGATTGTGCACCTGCTTTGAAATAGGAACTACAGATTCCTGCCTGTAAGAAACGCGCCTCTGGGCCGGGACCAGGGTCACCAACTCGCGGTCGCGCTCTGCATGGAGCAGAGTGTGGGGTTTGCAGGCTGTAAGCGCCGAGGCGGAGAAGCACAGTCCCCGAGAGGCAGGGACCCAGCGCGCCTCAGACCCAGCTCTTCATCTCCGTGCGTTTCTTGCTTATTAACAGGATCACTCTTGGTCTCCGCCACGGTTTCTGGGAAATCTATGGAAGGCTTTATTGGATGTGTTGAAAGTGATATTCGGGCTTGATTTTACAAGGAGGGTGTGCTGGAGGCAAGCAGAGGGTGAGGCCTTATGTGTGGTTGCTCAGTATTCTGGTAATATAAGAGCCAGCCGTCAATTTCCCACTTCCTAAAGAGTTTTGATTTCCTCTCATTTCTCCCGTGGAAGCTGGAATCAGCTTCTCAAAGCACGCGCCTTTCCCTGTACCTGTGGGTCCTCCCATTGGTGGTATGACCAGATCTCACCAATGTTCCACATAAGCCTCCCCTGTTGTGTCTCTGGTTATGGCTCTAGCTTAATCCTAGCAAGTGGCACTTACAGATAGTGTTCCTTAAAAGACAAGAAGTAGCCGGGGGTGGTGGCTCATGCCTGTAACCCCAACACTCGGGAGGCTGAGGCAGGAGGATCCTTGCGGTTCGAGACCAGCCTGGGCTACAAAGTGAGCTCAAGGCCAGCCTGAACTGCATTGTGAGACCCTGTCTCAAAAAAGACAAAAAAAAAAAAAAAAGACAAGAGGTAAAAAGAAAGGCTTCTGTTTCTCTCCCACATTTCAAAATAACATCAGCCACCATGCGTGTTCAAAGTACAGATGTAGCCTAGGGGTGTAAACAAACTTTATCTCTTTTTCAAATATTTGTTTGGCCCCAATGGGTAAGGGCAGGTTCTTCCACTTGAAAAGCCACTCCCATAAACAAAGTTCCTGCAAAAGGGGAAGCTTTTTCTCTGTAAGAGAAATGAAGCCATGGATTTGTCATCAAAAAGCATTTGTAGGTATGTTTACCATCTACATTTGATTCTATAGACATGACATAAGACACACACCAGATAACTCAAGAAACTACCCATGCTGCATAGGAACAACCAGAGCTGTCAGGCACTATGCTATACTCTTCATCTGAACTCAGCTTTTACCAGCCAGTCCACTCCCCCAGAGCTAGCAACTAACAAAAAGAGATTATTGAAATTTTAATTTGTTTGCCTTTTTTATAATCTGTCCTCTCCTGTACATATTAAGTAGCCCCAAGATATATTATCGAGTCAAAATAACCATCAGCCTCCTGTATGTGATGCAAATGACACTGAAGTTGTCACATTATTCTCCTTGCCAAAACTTAGATATTATGAGCCACTATCAGTATCTTGCTAGTAATTAAATCATAATAGAGCTTCACAGAACACAAAATGATCTTTTTTATATGCAGCACGGTAAGAATAATGTCTCCATGTTATAGCTGAGGAAACTGAGACAAAAGGATTTTGGATCTGGTTCAGAGTTTTCTAGTTATGAAATAGCAGAGCCACGATGTCAACCAGAATTTCTTCAAGAATACCATAGCTCCCATTAGGATATTGTTGTTGTCACTGTTGGTGATGTTGTCATTATTTAGTTTTGTGATGAGGGCTATGATTTGCTTCTTCTGAACAGTTAATATAGTCTCTCACTTGAACCTAGGTTAAGAGACACTTGACCTATATCTTACTTCAGTATAATCACAAAAATGCTTTACAGCTGGGTCTTGCCATAAGGACATGTTTTTCAAAGAAAAAGAAATTCTTTGCCAAATCCATTTTTTTAAAGAATTATTATAGCTAAAACCATTAAAACCAGATTTTCTGGTGTTCAGACTGATGCTGTCTGTAGCACATGATCTCTTGTAAATTCCCCAAACATATATTAAGTGATTTATTCTGTTGAGGTCTGCAGCAGCAAGCCACCACCTTTCTGAATCCCGGTCTCAAATACTGATGTTATTCTGAAGTGTGAGAGAGAAACAGAAGTCTTTCTGTTTACTTCTTTTTTTCAAGTAACCCATCTATAAGTGCCACTTGCTAAGCTAAGTTAGAACCATAACTAAGGACATATCTGGGGAGATCTCAGCGGGGTTATAACCTGATAAACAAATCACAAATTGGAAATACTGCAAATCAAAACTGCATGTACCACATCTCACCCCAAACATCCTAGCTCAGGCAGACAGAACACTGCAAAACACAGGCCAATCCTGGTGTGATCACACGCCTGCTGCCAGCTGGCAGGGAGACAGACTCATACATGTATTCATACATACGGCTCTCGTGGGAGAAGGTCAAAGTTCAAAACCTGGGGACCATGATTCACACCATCTCCTAAATTCAAAAACCCTAAGGCAAACCGTTGCAAGCCAGAGACCTCTGCACTTGTAGATCCTGCCAGTCTAACTACATTCGGTAACAGAAAACATCTTATTTGTCTGACTTTCTAGATGGCTCCTAGCACAGTGCCCACAGGTAAAGGAGAAGTTGATGCATGCAGCCTTTCCTCCCACCACGAAATAGGCACAGCACCTGCAGGCATGTCACTCTGGTCCACTGACTGAGTGGCTTGGAAAGCTGCTCGCTGTGACTGCAACCCAGAATGGGAGAAGGTTCTCCCACAGATCCAGACGGTTGTGCAGGCTGTTTTGCCACTTGTGCTATGCAATCCAATGTGTTCCATACTGTTAGAGGCATTAAATATTTGTTAAATAAATGTCTGAACACACACAAGATGACATTAGAGTTTCATTCAGCTACGAGTAACAGAAAACCTTTCTAAGGTGGCTTAAACAAGAAATTTTTCTCAGCTGGGAGTTTGGAGGTGAGGCGTTTGAGGCTGGGGAAGGTGCCATAGGACTTCACCTGAAACAGATAGGCTGTCACGCCGAGTCTCCAAGGCACCCGAGTTTCAACAGAAGGAGTGCAGAACGCTGAATACCAGGTGTAACCTGTCCATTTGCTATTTCAAGATTGCTTTTCTGGAAGTTTCTTATATCTCATTTCTAGAACTATGTTACCTAACTACTCCACCAACATGTGAACTGAGAAAGCCTAGTGTTTTACTGGACATGTCGCCCATGCAACAAGGAATTCTGTGAATAAGGAATAGAGGGGAATGGGTGGTAGACAAGCAACTAGCAGAGTCAGTCATACTGTGCTTTGTGAGTCAGAGGTTCTGTTTATAGATGCGTGGTTTTTGTTTGGTTGGGATACCACAAAAGCAGTAGACAATTCGCCGAGTCTAAGGGAACTTTTTAAACTCTGGATTCTGTGGGCCACCCCAGGCCCACAGAAAATACTATGACAGTTGTCCTTCCATAGCTGGGTCTTCTGCATGCACAGACAAAAACAAACTGCAGATCGAAAATATTCAAAAATGTGAATATACTGAATGCACCTAGGGCTAGGGCGGGTCTGTAAACTTGGATTAGAGCCTGGCTGTCCAGGTCATTTGAATGCAGGTGAATGCCAGGCAACACGCTGAGAAAATGAAGTTGGAGTAGGTTAGCAAATCGCCTTTATGTTATTCCCAGCAGATTTCTACCCCACTCCTCCTGAGGCTGTGCCTTACTTTATAGCTTTCTACTTGGGTCAATACAACTCAGTGTATTATCTCAGAAGTCACAAGTTAGAAGGTTTTTACTGAGTTGCTTCTCCCTAAAATGCTTTCCTTGTGGTTTCTTTTTTGTTCTAATTGTTGTTAACATTGAAGTTTTTAGTGTCACTGACTATAAACCACCGAAGTGTATTTTATTAGGCAAGTCATGACAGTTGCTGTGTCTTAGATAATTTGGCAGTATGCATTTTCACCAAATAGTGGAGAATAAAGTAGTCACTATATCATGCAGAGATATTCTTGTGTCCTTTTTTTTTTTTCATGCTTTCACTATTGTTTTCCCCAAATTGGATCCTTTCAGCATTTCCATAGATGCAGCTGGCATGTTTTCAGATCTTCCCATCACATGTTCTGGTACTGGATGCTTCCCTGGGGCGTGGGCCTGTCCTTTACATGTAAAGATGACCCCACAGAGGGCAAGTCATCTAAGCATCTACATCTGGGCTACAATGGGCTACAAGCTCTCCATCTCCATTATCAAAATCACACATAACCATCCGTGGAAGATTTTTTCGAAGATTCTTCCAAAGGCTTTGCTGTCTTATAGTGAAAGACAGCATCAACTTAAAAATTGTGTTGGTACATTTTAGGGATTCAAAATGATCATATTCATCATAGGGAATTTGTACCTGTACA